GTGTGTGAGGCTCCAGGAATCATATCTCCTCATTTTTGGACTCCAGATACACGAGTGTCTGTGTGTATTTGCGTGGTTATCTTTGTGAGTTATGACATTTTAACAGGTCTTCAATTTCCGACACCAGAGAGCAGAGAATGAGCCTGGACCTTAGCACGAGGGTTAAAATCAGGTCGAGGTTAGGGTTACGGTATAAGATGTGCGGGTGTGCGAGTGTTTGTGCGTCTCACCTGACATTTTCTTCTGTCTTGGAGGCAGCTTGGTGGAACTGTTCTTTGCTTTGTTGATACCTTTCCAAATTCTAAAGACACGCACACCAAAAACAACACAGGAAAAAACAGCATTAGTAAAAGGTGCGATTTTGCAGCGTTAATGTGTGTGTTTGTGTGCCTTTGTGACTGTAGTATTGTAAGTAGGGCTTATAAAGTGCTGATATATACATCCCTGGGACCGTTCAAGATACCTTTCTGTAACTGTGCCCTCTGATAACTAAGATCTGGCAAATGCAGAAAGAGATGTATAATGTATTATTTAGAAAGTATATGTTTGACTTTAAAAGAAACACTATTAAGCAATATGAAGGACTCGAAAGCTTAGCATGAAGATAAAAGCAAGTGTTTGTGCTAAGCTAAGCTAACAGGCTCAACTATATTATAAGCAGTATATCTGATTTTTTGCTGCACTGTGAGCATAGACACAACAAACAACTATATATCATAATTTTCCCGAATTTAAGCTTTGCCATTTCATTAAAATAGCCGCTCTGTTCCTAAGTCATATTTAATTGGTTATCACTTCAGACTGTGCCCATATCTGACTGAATAATAACATTTCTGATCGTCATTTGTCCATCACTGATTTAGGACCCTTTATAACTTTCCAGATTTTCCTTCCAAGTTCAAACTTAGGAGTCTGACTTCCATTAGATAACATTACCTTCACATATAGGACCTATTTTTTTGTGATTCCAGCCTCTTTAAGTGGAACTAAAGCCTAGCAGTGATGAGCTGCATTACTCATACATTTTTCAAAAAATCGTGATTTCTGATTTCGCAGCTTGCCTGGTGAGTACCAAAACCCAGGCAAGCAGACAGTGGTATTATAACAAAACAAGCAGCTAATCCACAACAACTGCAGCCTCTCCTCTGCTGATCCTCCCAGCTTAGGCCTTCCAGCACCCTGTATCCCCCACAAATATTTACCCAGCAAGCTGTACCAGCTTTGGAAGGAAGCATGGAAGGGAAGAAATCGAGAAAAGGCGAGAAAGAAGGTAAGACAAGAATAAAGAAAGAGAAGCAGCAGAAGGCATGAAGGTAAGTAGCAGGAAATAAAGAGGGGAGAAATCATTTGGCCTGACATTTATTTAGTACAGAGTTGGGCACAGCATGATCATACAGTCATGTGAAAAACTATAGGAATAACCACAGGAATTAAGAGGGTAAGAAGCAATCAGCTGCTGCTAATCAAATGTACCTCATCAGTTTATCATCAGTGAGTATGAGCGCCTCTAAAAAACTTCAATAAAAATTCAAGTATATCTATCACTATCTTCAGCATAAATGGGTAAAAATATATATTTAAAGTGTACAGAAACATGCTTATTTCAAAGCAATCAATGGCACTTCTTGTGACCGAAGCAAGAAACACAGCGTTGTTGGCCTGGCATAGTAGCCCTGTGTTTCAGTGTAGCATCTTGAATCACAGGCAGCAGGTTTATCAACATATCCGTACTGCTGCGTCAGATGGCTGCAAGGATTTAATGAACTACAGGAGAGATTTTCCCCTTTCAGCATAAAGTAGCTGTGGACAGCTAACACGCTAAGAAGGTATTATCATTATGCGATTTCTAAGGATCAGTTCAAAGTCTCTCATTTTTGTAACTAATCTGATGTTAGCATTGTGTTGCGCTGTAAGAAATTGTAATCATTTGTGTCCCTGTTGTCAAAAGACACCCTGCAGCAAAAATCAAGTATTCACCTGGACCATGGGTCAAAGGGAGAGTTATTTTCCAGCACCTGCTTTTCTTTTTTCTTACACCAGTGCTTAACCGTCATCATTCTCCTTCCTTCTCATTACCATCCTTCCTCCACTCCATTTTTTCTTCCACTTTTAAACATGTGTTTTCCCCTCCTTCCACAGATTACGCATAATATTGGAGTTACTTTCCACCATTCATCATTCCTTCATTATCATCGGTGATTAACTCACACATACTGTTTAACTGTGCTTGCCAAGATGACGTGATGACATGACACTAGCTGCAAAGCAATCCACCAATTTTGCATAAGTTGAAAGCAAAATTCTCAAACACTGGTTGCACTATTCAGAACTTTAGTCCAAGACTATGTCAAAATCCATTTTTACTGAACCATAATTGACCCCACCCTATTTTTTTTACCTTTATATTTCAACTTAATTCTAACCAGCTATAAAGCGTGTATTAGCTTCTATCAACTGGTTAGACTGAGCAACAGATTTCTGTTTGTATTTCCATTAATTTTGAACCAAAATCCAGAATTGAAAGGATTTAAGAAAAAAAAAAACAACAACAAACAAATCAAAAATGAATAAACTGTGAAGTTTATAACAAACGTATAGTAAGTAGAATATGTGTCCTAACAAGCGATACCACTGACAGTTTCCACAAGGTGATTTTAGCAGCTATAACAGGAAGACAGGCCATGATCAGTTTAAAATAAAATAAAACATTTTACAGGTTAAACTGCTCACTGTATGCACACTGTAGTCAAAGGTGGGGGGGGGGGGAAAAAGGACCAGAGAACATGAGCTTATTGTTTCTTACACTTTAACCTCCTCGTTGATTCTAACAAGACAATTACAATAAAAAGAAAAGAAACCATCATGTTGTATTCAGTAAGAGTTGAAATTAGTCAATGAGGGCTTAAACTCATAAAAATGCAGGGCAACCATGGTTCAGGGGGTTGGGAAGCTCATCTTGTAACTGGAAGGTTACCGGTTCGATCTCCTGCTCTGTCTGTCTTGGTCATTGTGTCCTTGGGCAAGACACTTAACCTACCACCTACTGGTGTTGGCCAGAGTGGCCGATGGTGCAATATGCCAGCCTCGCTTCTGTCAGTCTGCCCCAGGGCAGCTGTGCTTCCACCAGAGTGTGAATGTGAGAGTGAATGAATAGTGGAATTGAAAAGCGTTTTGAGGGTCTCGAAAAGCGCTATATAAATGCAATCCATTATTATTATTAAATAAAGTCTAAAGTTATTCCACACTGGCTTTACTTTTCAGACGTGGAAATTATATCCATATGGAATCTATACCAGGAAGTACTGCATGGTACATCCATTCGTGTTATTTAACTGGAGGTTGGCAAACAATTTACTTTATATATGTGCATTACTGCCACCGGCTAGTGGTAGCTGACATTAAAACAAAATCCTGGTAAAAAACAACAAACTTCATGCAACTCTGATCAACTATTGTTAAAATCTTCAAAATGAGTTTTCATTTTCATGATATCCAAGTATTTAAGTCAAGTACTTTTTCAAGAACCAAAAAAACTGGAGCAATCAATGTAAAATGTTTCACAGAATGACAGGATTTGACACAGCTAAATCTGCGTCATTCAGTTTTAAGGGATCTGGCTACAACTAACAGGCCACCTGAAGCTTTAATTGCCATTTACCCTTTTTTTCTCCCCCACTGGTTGCTCATTATGTTCACTTGCTCTCTGCCCTGTACACCATTCAACCCAGCAACCTTTTGTCAGTTTTTCTTCTATACTTCAGCCTGAATAGCTGGCCTCAAAATCGCACCAATGCTGCAGTTTATTAAAGCATCTCTTCCTTTTTTCTGTGCATCTTTTCCATCTAAACTGCGTTGGCAAAAGTGTCGGCTGTGTATAGAATTGAGGAGAACACACACATATGCATGGCACAGGGATAAAAAGAATAAATAACAGTGGTGAGCCAACAGGCTTGTTAGCTGTGAAAGGTGGCAACAGCTGTACTTTACTGTCATCAGTCCAAACAGATTTGTGCTCCTCTGCTGATGATGATTGCAGCCATTTTCCCCAGCTGTCTACACATGTTTACAACTACCCCCGTAACTATGGGAACATATTTCTTAAATTTGGTGGTTTGGGAACACTGAAGTCAAACGCAGTTATGTAGATGCTTTTTCTTTCTATACCAGGAGATATCACAAACACTGATCCAGAAGTAGGTGGCAAAATTACTCTTCACACGCACACACAACACACACCCTTTGATCCACCTGTAAAACAAGCAGTCTTTTAACCCACACACACTCCCACTTCATGTTACACTGATCTGAGAGCAGCAACAGCATTCACTGAACAACACAAAATAATCTTTAATGGTTTCACACCATTAACCCTGGACTATGTGTGGGCCTACATGACATTTTCTTTATATGCACATGTATGTGTGACCTATATCTTTAAATAAATATATTTTGTCATCTATGTGGGAACAGAACAGGTTTGCATTCAGTGGATTCAGAGTGGGTCTCCTGGTCAGCACAAACACCAAAAGTAATAGTTTCTAATATTGAGAATGCACTTGAAGCAAACCATCTCTTGCTGTTTTCTCTATGTGAGTAAGGGCAATGTTTGGGAATGATTTGTACTTCTTTCAACTGCTCAGATTCTAATGGCTCAGTCACACTAGAGTAAAAACATCAAGGCAACCTCTATGCAAGCAGGAGGGGAAAATAAATGAATTCAACCACTTACACGTAGAACCGCTGAGCATGTCATTTTGATCGCATAGAATTTAATGTAAAACAAACAACAAAGGTAGCAAGCCAGCTTACCTAAGAACATATTGTTTATTTAGATATGTTTGCTATTGTGTGTTTGTGCTGCATCCTTTATTACAATCTGTATAATGAATTCTAATGTACATTTTAACTTTGCTACCTATAACAAAATAGTTTTAAAACATTGCAAAACTAAAAAAACAGCCCTATAGCGTACATACTTATTCAGTGAAATCTTACTTATACTGATAAAATTAACCTGATCTTCTTCATCACTGCTGCTGTTGTTGCATGACGAGGTCAAAATGATGGCAAGTTTGCTGCATATGGTCAGAATAATCTGGGTGGTCCCACAGTCTCGAAACTACTATTTCCCTAGTGTTATGCAGCTGTACAGCTACAGCTGTTTTAATAGCGGGATCATGTCACACAAAAGCTACAAATGTTAAATTCAGCTAAAATGTTGTCCAAAAACATTTAAAATATATGTATTAGATATTTTTTTTTAATAATTGGGGATCGTGTTCTATTCCATGTTATATCCTC